GGGGGCAGGTGAGGGGGAGTTGGAGGGCGATTGGAGAGGGACTGGCGACCGAAACGAGATGAGAAATAACACCAATCCGCACGGACGGCCAAAAGGGTCCGGGCGGCTTGGCTGGGCTGGAGCAGCTCTTGGGAGGAGGGACGCGTGAGCTGGAGGACTGGGCGAATCGTCTCCGGCCGATAGGATTGCAACTTTCCTCCACTTTTCCTAGATCGTCGTTATTCAGATAATTTTTATATTACTTTTTTTATTTTTGTTTGCGGGTTTGTCAGATCCTAAGAAGTAGTGACGGACCTTTGAGGCCAACTCAATTCATAAGGTAAAAGCGTTTCGAGGTTCATATGCGGTACGACAGATTGTCCCCGTCTAAAATACTGTCAAAGTGTGATCTTTTGGCACGAGTTCAATAATTGTAGAGCATTGAAGTCGAGCCATGCGACGACGCAAAAACAATCGATTGGCAAAAATACAAACTTCTTGCCATCTACACACAATTACATCATATCGTTATTAAATTACATTTGTTTAAGGTTTTTCGGGAGGAAGGGCGCGAGGTGTGCGGTAGCAGGAGACGTGGGGCGTGGTAACTCCGCGCCAGCGCGGGGTATGCCGCCGGGCGTCCCAGCCGTCCGGGGTATCCGCAGCCTGTACCCCCCGCGGGGCTCAGCGCCCGCACAGCCATGACCAGCGCTTCTTGGGACGGGCGTCCCTCTCGTCGACGGGTAGGGTGGCGCCCTGCAGGTCCTCACCCTCCTCGCCCTTCCCCTCATGCTGGCCCTTGTCGGCGGGCTCGTTCCAGGGCTGCACCTCCGCCTTGCAGAGCAGAACGTACACCAGGTTGCCGGCGAAGTAGGTCGACGCCGTCAGGATGAAGACCCGCGACCACGTCTCCACGATCTCCTGGAAATGGGAAAAAGTCGTGAGTCGCAAGTAGGGTCAGGGCGGGTTAAAACTGGGACGCGGGGAAAAGGAGACAACACCTTTCTCGGTATAGACGAAAACAATTAAAATGTTCTTGCTCCGAATAGGTGCTTAGTTGAGTCAAACGTAGGCGTTGACTCGAAAGTTTCGAATTGTTGCAGCTTCTATTTAATGTGTGCTGTCTTATTCTTCCCCGCGTCTCATTTATACCCACCCTGACCCTAGTTCTCTCCACAAAAATTTTCAACTTTTAAAAGTATATGAAATTTTAACAGCACTTCGTACATTGTTAATTTTTAAACTTAACTGCTAAGAAGGAAAAAATAAGTGATATTGTTTTAGTTTTGTCAGTCTGGCTGCTCACCTCCTCCGACTTCTCGCCCAGGATGACGCCCACGACGAGCGGCGCCAGGATGCCCATGACGCTGCCGCAGCCGTTGGAGAGCCCCATGAGCGCGCCGCCGAAGTTGGGCGACAGGTCCATGTGGCTCACGTAGAAGCCGGCGAAGATGCACGACTCGAGGGTGACGGCCACGGTGAGCATGGCCACGGCGCCGTACGGCCCGGGGTTGGTGAGGGCGAGCAGGAGTAGCGCCAGGCCCGAGCCCCAGTGCGCCAGCGAGTTGAAGACCTTGCGGGACGCGGTCAGCGACAGCAGCCCGCTCTCGTTGACGCGCTGCGCCGTCCAGCCCACCACGAAGGTGGCGAGCCACAGGCTGATGTAGGGCAGCGCAGAGAACAGCCCGTCCTCTGCAACGCACACGTGTAGGTGTGTGAATGTAACGCTTGTGTAGGTGTGTCAATGCAGCACACTGTGGATGATGTGAATGTAACGCACTTATTGTAGGTGTCTGAATGTAGCACACTTGTCGGTGTGTCAATGCAGCACACTGTGCATGAAGTGAATGTAACGCTCTTGTAGGTGTGTCAATGCAGCACACTGTGCATGAAGTGAATGTAACGCTCTTGTAGGTGTGTCAATGCAGCACACTGTGCATGAAGTGAATGTAACGCACTTGTAGGTGTCTGAATGTAGCACACTTGACACTTGTAGGTGTGTGAATGCAGTGCACTTTTGGGTATGTAAATGTAGCACACTTGTAGGTGTGTGAATGTAGCACATTTGCAGGTGTTTGAAAGTTGCAAACTTGTGTGAATTTTCAGTTGCACACTTGGACCATGTTCTTGTGCCTGCTGGTGTTAATTCCAAACAAGTGCATGACATGTTGTGCACTCACTCTTGATGTCGAAGTGAAGCTCCGTCTTCATGAAGTTGGGCATCTCAGTGAGCAGCATCCAGTGGCCGAAGTTCTGTCCGCAGTGGACGGCGAGGAGAGAGAGCGCCGGCGGGGACGTCAGGATGGCTTTCCACGGAACTTTGGCGACCTGGGCCGCCAGAGTCAAGAGTTACACCTTCGCTTTGTTTTACGAGTACGCTACAGTTGGCCTGCCTGTTGATCTACTTACGCACTTCGAGGAGATCGCGGAGGTGCCGAGACTGCGCTCGATGTAGGCAAGCTCCTCCGGCGTGATGCCCTTGCACTGCCTTGGGGTGTCTGCCGACAGGAAGAACCACAGGATGCACCTGGAAGCGCATTTCAAAGGTCCCTGAGCTCGATTCAGTGCAGGCGATGATGCAAGTAAGATACATTGCCTTTACTGTTGATTCTATTCACTCTGGAAAAGCAAGTGTGTGAATGTCACTCACTTGCAGGTGTGTGAATATCCATTCGTACACTTGAGGGGGTAAACGTGTGAATGTTGCCTATAAAATTCACAAGTTTACACCCCTAAGTGTACGAATAGATATTCACACACTTGCAAGTGAGCGACATTCACAAACTTGCGTTTCAAGTGCAGTTACAAAATAATTTCAAAACTTTAGAATAGAAAACTTTTTTTAGTATTTAAAACTGTTTTCTTTTGGGAAAAGAACTCTGTTTTTATTTTTCTTGTTTGTGTGCAACGCACCACAGCAGTCCCATGACGCCCGGGACGTAGAAGGCGGAGGGCCAGCCCAGCTGGGAGCTGCAGAGCAGGCCGGCGCCGGCCATGGCGGCCACCGTGCCCATGGACATGCCGCCGTACACCATGGACGTGAAGCGCGGGCGCTCCAGCGGCGGCGTCCACCGCCCCAGCATGTTGTGCGACGAGGGGAACACGAGCCCGGACAGCAATCCCTGCCCGCACAAAGTCCCTTGTAAAAGTTTGTTTTAGGTAATTTTAAGTCAGTTTTTATTATGTCTCTTAAAGATATTTTTAAGGTCGTTTTTTAGGTCTTTGTTTTTGGAGCATGTCTTGGGGATCGCCTAGAAAATACGTCCGTTTTTCGCAGATTAAATTCGGCAAATTGCGGGAGCTCGGCGCCTGCGAGACTCGGGGTAGGCCACCCCGCATCACACGCGTGCACTGCAGGCACGATGTTGCCTACCTACCAGGCGCTAGGAGAGCCTTGACAGGCTAAACTTGGGAGCCTCGTCACGGCAAATGGCGGACGTACTTTCTGAATGATCCATTGGGTCTTTTTATGACATTTAATTTTTTTTAAAAGTCTGTTTATATCCCTTTAACGCACCTGTGCGACCCTGATGGTGATGAGGACGGCGACGCCCCCGAGGCTGACTGCGTACGGCGTGAGGATGGCCAGCACGGAGCAGCCGGCGATGGAGGCGAGCAGGAAGCGGCGGGGGCCGTAGCGCTGCACGAGCATGCTGCCCGGCACCTGCATCACCGAGTAGCCCCAGAAGAAGGACGACAGCACCGTGCCGCGCGTCGACTGCGCCCAGTCGTACACCTGCGGGCCGGGTGAGTGAGCAAGGGGTTGTGCACATACGGTGGGGTACAATTTTCACGGGGTATGGTGGCGTCTGTACCTCTGGGTACAATTATGAGGCATAACTATTGTACCTACTGTTTAATTATCCCGATGCATGATAATTGTATCTCGGTAAAATTATCATGATGCATGAAAGTTGTACCTATGGTAAAACCATCATGATGCATTAAAATTGTACCTATGGTAAAATTATCATGATGCATGATCATTGTATCGTAGGTTAAATGATCATTTGCTTTGATATTTGCACCCCCACCAGCGCGTTGTATCTGATCGACCACCAACAGTGTCTCAAATAAGTTCTGTTATTTATTCGATGTTGACGTCGAGGTTGAGACCCGAAGCATGTTTAGCGGTTTACCTGGTAGGCGTCGTGCCTCTTCTCGTTGGTCATGGACACGAGCGCGACCGATAGGTTGATGCGGATGCCGTAGGCCATGGCAATGGCGAGGAACAGGAGCAGGACCTGGAGGTGTCGTCTGCCGAAGCCCCGGGGGGTCTCTGTGGAGGAGAGGGGCCGCCGATTAGGAAAAGAGTTGTCCAGGACGTGCAGGCTTCCCGGGCGGGGAGGGTGCCCGTCAGTGGGTGCAACACGGCACCCTTCCATGCGACAGGGTCACTCGCAGTGAAGACGGCAAAAAAAGAAAGAAATAGCTTATCGGTACATCTTTTTTTTTTTTTTTTTTTTTGCTCTCGTTGTTCCCTCGGCTGCTCGGCTAGGTCGAGACCGTATCATGTTCGTAATCACACGACGTATGGCGGGGGGCATTCGACCCTGGACCGTTTTGTCATCCTAACCGCCATGTACATCATTGTAGGGTATTAGGGATCGATTTATGGCATCAGAGGTCTCATCTCCGCTCCGTCGGATGGACGCCCATCTTCCTGGAATAAAGTACTGGCCGAAGACGATCGGTGCACAAGCAACCGTTCGATATTTCACTTACTTTTATTTGTTTCATGGAGAAATTTATAGCTCTGGTTGTAATATTACGAAGTGATACCTATTGCTGCGTCAAATATAATGCTTAGTTAGGATACTTTTTAAAATCATAATATTTCGACGAAGCCATGCAATGCACAGAAAAGAACCTGTACAAAAGTGTAGGTTGGTGTAGAGCGTGGTCTCTTTTTTTTAGAAGAAAACAAAATCAAGCAAAACTAGTTTATGGTTTTCTTTAAAAACACTTACACGAGTCTAGCATACATTGAATGCCGTCAAGTATTATTTTGGTAGTTCTTTGCTGCGGTATATAATTGATGCCACTTGTCTCGGTCTGCGAAACCGGAGTAGCACTGGTGTAAGGCATGATGGACTATTTCTATACGGCCTTGGATAAGTATTGCCTGGTCTGACTATGAGGGCGATATGAATGGCCAGCATGCTTCTGCAAGACTTTAAATTGCAATATAACTCTTTCGTAAAAGACGAACTTATTACACTAGTGAGACTCTTGGCTAATCGACTACGTTACGCCATAAGTAATTGAGAAAAACGTCCTTACGTCAAAAAATTACTTGTTTATGGGTCTTGAAGTGTTTTTGTGAGTAAAATAAAGAAACTTCTTCCGGAAACATACTCTAGCACAGTCAGTCGCAGTGAAGGTTCTATGTGCAATAAATGGTAACAGCTGCGTTCAATGCACATTCAATGCGCCCTATTTACTTAAATAGCGTGTAAGATGTAAAACCTTTTCAAATCGTTCACACTGTGGCCCCCTAGTAACGTAGATAACCTTTCCTCGCTGCCGGAAAAGTTTGCACGCCCCACTGAATTTGTGGGAGGTTCCCTTTTTGTTCTCGCGTCGTTTTTGCAAACCTACCTGGGGTTTCGCCTCCCCGAGGCGCCGGTTCTCCTGGATTCTCCGCCATTTCTGCTCGCCCCTTGCTCTTCAGCGAACTAGGCGGTCGGCATCGGTCGCCAGCGAGAGGTCGTTAGGAAAGGCCCGGCGATGCTGCCGGCCGGGTCCATCGGCGGAGGCGGTACTGGCAGGGCCCGCTGCCCCGCTGCCGCGCCGCCGACAGATAGCTGACGGGCGGACTTTAGTTTTTCTTATTTTCTGAAAGGTCATTTCCCAGAGACGGCCTTCCCGCTCTTCTTTACTTTCTCATTATCTCGTCCGACCCTCTGCTTCATTTTCCTCATACTTCATTATTTGACATGAAAATAACTTTGACTGCGACTCGTAGTTTTATTTCGAGGAGGACAGCTTCTAAGTGCGCTATACTTACTAGTGTACAAATGTGCTGTGATAATAGACATGCTGGAGACACAGAGCGGGCATTGTGCGACTGAACTTTTGAACTCCGAAATGAGCATCCCGCGGGTATTGGAACTGAAAATTCGCGGGTGAACTTTTAAAAGTGTTTAACTCGTAGTTGCAGACGTTGGCTGACATGTCAGAGCGCGTCATGTCCGACAGTCGAAGCCGAGGCGATGTCGCGTCCAGTTCGTTATCTGCGCCCACCCGCACCGCGGTGGTTGGGTGGCCTATCCCCTCGGCGCACAGTGCGTGGAGGCCACCGGCCGGACAGCAGACATGCCGCGTCAAGTGGGTTGCCTTGCTGCCAGACGCTTAAGCACATCCATATACGCTGACATCTGAATAAGTTTCTAACTAAAATTGTTAAATGCCTTCTCAAGCACTATTGTTATGTGTTTGTACGTTTGCACGTAGTGTTCAACCCTAAAGTCGAACACTATAAAATGCTCACCTCCGGTGCTAAGCGAGCAATTTGCATCTAGTCCAGCACTCGCAGATATACCTATTTCCGTTCCAACTCATATGCTGCAGAATGAAATACGGCGTTTGTCATCTACAGTTGCTCTCCAGTTGTTGAGCTCTTCATTAACCAGTGTAAACTTCAAACTTCCTCGAAAACGCTTCGTACCGAATCGAAGTTGTGGTGTCCTTAATTGACACGGCGCGCTATCTTGAACTTGTTGTTCTCACTTTATTGCTCACTTTCCTGGCGGCTGACAGCTAATCTGCGGTACGCTTACGGCTGGGTGCGACACCCAAGTCATTATTCTTTATCTCGCGTGAAGTTCTTGAGGTCCTGCTCTTGGCAACCAGGCTCAAGCGGTGCGTGCACCACCCAAGCTTTGGCGCTGGACCGGTCAGCTCGTACTCGGGGTCTGTCGGGGGGAGGCAACATAGCGCAGATTGCGCAGGTCAACGCGAGTGACGTGGCTGGTATCACGAGTCGGGGTGAATAGTACCCTTCTCCAAGGACGCGCGGCCTGGGCGCTTGAAGGGCTTGTTTACTGACTGCGAGATAAGGCCGTTGGCGCTCGATCGTGTATAAAGCCTTCCACACCCGCCAGGCCGGGTGCTTTCACATCCACGACTCTCTTCCCGAGCGGCCGTTCCAGAGCGCAGCAAGATGGCAGAAACAATTGGCATCGTCGGAAGGTTAGTCCATCCTAATTAACTCCCCCCTCAAAACTACCATACTGACAGGTTTCACGCCTCTTTGAATAAAAACCGTTAAGAGCAAGAAGGTTCCTGATCATGTTTTTGTTTTTCTGCAACAGTGGACTGATCGGGCGGAGCTGGGCGATGCTGTTTGCGTCGGCAGGCTACAAAGTGAAGCTTTTCGACATCGAACAGAAGCAAGTGCAATGTGCCCTCAAGGAAATCGAAAGCCAGCTCAAGGAACTTGAAAGGACCAAGCTTCTCCGGGGAAAGCTGTCAGCAAAGGAACAGCTAGGCCTCATTTCTGGTAACAATATTTTGACAACTCTCTTTACCACTTCTGCCAGTTATGCTGAGATCAAAGTAATATCAAAACAAAATCTATGAAGTGCTCTGTCTCACTTATTCTGACTTCTGTTATTCAGGGACGTCTAACTTAAAGGACTGTGTGACAGGAGCATTCCTCGTCCAGGAATGTACACCCGAGATTCTAGAAATTAAAATGAAGGCACTGAGGGACCTGGACGCCGTCGTACAGGCACCCACTATTATCTCGAGCTCCACCTCCACGCACATGCCTTCTGTTCTAAGCAAGTCGCTTAAAAATAAGGAGCGTTTTGTCGTCGCTCATCCGGTACAGTACTGTTTTTGGTTCAATAATACTTCATTCCTAACTTTATTAAACAGTTTCTTTTGACAATTAGTACACTGTTAAAATTTTGGGGGGATTTCCCGAAGATTCACTGTCCAACCTACTAGAAATTTCCAGAGGACTCCGTTTTTAGATTTCATGTTTTAAATCAGCCATTGAAGGTAGAGAGTTATTATTCGCCTATATGTTTCGAAGCTCAACTGGACACGTGAAATCTACGGAGTCCTTTGGGAAATCCCAAAGGACTTTGGCAATATTTTTCGCGAGTGTTCCTCCGTGAAATCCCAGAACTTTTTATAACAGTGTATAGTATGTCTCTGCTGTAATTGTCTCTTCGGCCATTGTGGGTTATGGGTTCGCTTTTCACTCAGGTGAATCCTCCTTACTACGTCAGGCTGGTGGAAATTGTTCCCGCGCCATACACAGAGAGCTGGGTGCCAGTGAAAGTGCGAGCTCTCATGGAAACCATCGGCCAGGTCCCCGTTTCTCTTAAAAAAGAAATCGCTGGGTTCTCCTTAAACAGAATACAGTACGTCATTTACATCCTTTACGTCTCGGAATGTCTACTTGTTAGCAACCGGCTTGCCACTGCTACCGTTGAATTCTCACTGCATGCCTTAAATCACGTTTGCAGGTACGTCATTTTGAACGAAGTTTGGCGGCAGGTTCAGGACGGAATCCTCGACGTTGCGGACGTTGATAAGGTCATGTCTGAGGGCCTCGGTCCTCGGTATGCATTCCTGGGGGCTTTGGAAACCGCGCACCTCAATGCGGAAGGTGAGTGCAACGCTACTAGTAACTGCAGTACCAATGGCACTGCAGTTTAAACTGATTCTGAGAGGTTTGAAGAGTGTATGTCCTCACGTTCTGTGCTATTTCTAGGTATGGTGAGCTACTGTGACCGTTACGCCTCTACCATATACTCGGTGAGCCAGTCTATGGGGCCGACCCCGCACATGGAAGGTAAAGCATTGGAGGATATTCAGCGGCAAATGTGTGAGCGCATACCCCTCGAAAAGCTGCAAGAACGCAGGCAATGGAGAGATGCCTGCCTTACCAAACTCTCATTACTAAAAAAAGAAGTGGAGTCTTTGCCAGTCACTGGTTTATTGAGGAAATAATTTTAGTAAAGCAAAGGCAAGCAGATACAAATAGATAAATACATACAGATACATATGCCAAGATCTTCCGTTCAAAATGTTTAAATTCTCATTTTAAATAAAACTTCCTTTTATCCAGAACCTGTACGAAATTAACTTTATTCTGAAGAACTTGGTACTAAGGTGGTCCTCACTTCCCTCACTTTAGTAGAGTAAATTGAGATAGTACAATGCAATACGTAAGGGCCACAACCATCATCTGAAATACAAGAAATACGTTGAATTCAACTTTAACATTACTAATCACTAATTTGGAAAACGAATGTTTCTCTGAACCTCACCGTAATAACACGTGAACGATTGATAGCTATAAATCCATTAAGCGTTAAAGACAATTGCTTTTCCCTCATCTCTTCTAAAAAAGTGAACGCCTGGAAAATATAATATTAGTGCTAAAACCTAGAAAATTTTACGGGCACTTTGTTTTTTTGGTATACCTCATTTTGAAAAAAAGCGCCCCTCCTGCTTAGCGGTAACCTGAGAACTGTCTGGCGTGCACATGTTACCTGTTAGTATGGACAGAAATAGAGTGATAGTCCATATCCGGCTTTTTATTTTTGTGCCATTGATAGACGAATATACAGGGTGATCCATAGACCCCTTTCTTTATTTGCATATACTGTACAGGCGTGCGGGCGGGCTTGCCTACCTTCTCTCCGCACGTCGCCTTATGGCCCCGTGTGCATGCGGTACAGTATGAGCAAAATAAAGGAAGGGGTCTATGGACCACCCTGTATGTAGAAAGAAAATAAGAGTATTGTCTCCCCAAAAAATCTGTTCGTACGTCGTCGTAGGAATCTTACCGACTCGGTAGCAATTTGCGCACTGAAGCATACGAAGAAGAGACAACCTGCACAGGCAATCCACACCAATAAATTTTGACCTAGTTTTCTTAGTAAGTTTATCTCTTTGCACGTCAGAATTGTGAAAGAGTACACACACTGAAATCAGAAAAAATTGTTCCGGACTTCTTTTAATACCTTTTCGTCCAAAAAGTAGTCTTTTTGTAATGACAGTTTTTTTTATCTTTTCTAAGTCTGCTCAATAATATGGGTCTTTAGCATCGTATGTAATATTTGTTTCTCAGGTGTCAAAGGTAGCAATAGAACACACAAATTATTATTGAAATAACTTACCGCGGAAAGACCATCCCAGCTTAACATTAACGTTCGAATAAAGTTGAAAAAGTAGAGAGTGGAAATGACAAACGTCCAGAAAATAAGTGGTGCCTGTACCGCACTCCAACAAGAGTGGAAAGTATGTAACAACTGTTGTTAGAGATAAAAATTATGATTAATTATATTCGCACCAATTGGTGCGGATTTCCGTAGACCTACTATTTGCACCAATTGGTGCACATAGCTCGCACTACTAATTCTCACCAATTGGTGCACCAATGGTACAAGTTGCTATCCGCACCAACGAGCCTGTGGAGGGGGCCGTTGGTGCGGATAGCAGCTTGTACCTTAGGTGCACCAATTGGTGCGGTCTCGGTACAGTCAGCTATTCGCACCAACGTGGGCCCGGAGGGGGCGGTTGGTGCGGATAGCAATCGGTCAAGGAAGAGCACCAATTGGTGCACCTATGTTACTAACCGCTATGCGCACCAACGGGGTCCTGGAGGGGGCGGTTGGTGCGGATAACAGTCGGTAAGGGTGGCG